CAGCAGAAAGAGCCGGTCCAGCACCGGAGCCAGTTGTCACCTTGGCCCCTGAGCAGAGTCTGGAACCAGAGGAACCAGAAGAACCAGAGGAACCAGAGGAACCAGAGGAACACATCCGCTTGACCCCCGAGTACAGCCAGCGACCAGTGGTGACATCCTCGGGCACGTCACTTCCCGTGATGTTCCCACACCAGATCCTGGTGCAATTCTGGAATCTGCTGCAGGAGTTCCTGCAGTTTCTGAAGGACAAAGAAGCTTGAGCAGCAACAGGATGAGCAGGACCCAGGGCTACAGTGGACCACAGCATTTCCTGCCAGGCCAAAGGTAGCCTTGGGCCAGAGGCTTCTCTGTCCTGCCCACGCTGCTGCGCTGCGGCCACACCGATGCTGACGTGACTGAAGTGTTGAAGTAAAGTTTCTGCATTCATCATTAACCGTGTTTTTGGCCCTGCTCAGTGCACCCACAAGCTCAGAGAGTCCCTGCTCTGTCCATCTGCTGTGCTGTTCACATTCATTCTTCAGCCCAGAGAGGGCTCCATGGAAATCTCAGTGCCCCTTCCAGTGCCTGAAGCAGGTTATAATAATGGGGGGGAAGTGGCTTTTTGCATGGGCAGGTTGCACAGGACAAGGAGGAATGGTTTCAATCTAGAGGAGGGGAGATTTGGATGAGGTGTTGAGAAGGAGTTTTTACTCAGGGGGTGATGAGGCCCTGGCACAGGGTGCCCAGTGAAGTTTTGGCTGCCCCTAGATCCCTGGAAGTGTCCAAGGCCAGGGTGGATGGGGCTTGGAGCAGTCTGAGATAGTGGAAGGTGTCCTGGCCCATGGCAGGGGGTGGTATGAGATGATCTTTAAGGTCCTTTTCAAACCAAACCAATCTATGATTCCGTGACTGTATGTGTGTGTATCCAGCTCTCTGGAATGCAGCATCATGCACACAAAGACACGAACCATGACCACATCCAACAAACTGGGACAGAACCAGCCCGAGGGTGTGAGCCCACCTGTGTCAGCCATATGGACCTGGAAGAAGAAAGCCCCTGTGCTCAGCAGCCCATGGGATCTGGCTGTTGTAGGGCAGAATGGGAACGGGAGCCCAGGGATGTTGCAGCAGAAGTCATGGGAGGACCGAGGCAGTACCAGCTCAGCTGGGAGCAGGCTGGGCTGGACCGTGGCCTAATGGCACCTGGGACCTGCCTCCTTACAGCAGCAATGCTGGGAGGATGCCACATCATACCTTTGTAGAAAAAATCCTTTAGTGTTTGCTTTCTGCAGCAGCTACCACTACAGCATCTGGGCAGGATCCTTCCTGCAGGTGCAAGATGGCTCACTTCTCCTGGCCAGCTCTGTCCTAAAGGAGCACTAGGAATGAGCGACCATCCATGTAGAATCATGTGGATTCTCCCATCCCTCTCCTGAGCAAAATGTGCAGCAGTGAGGGCTGAGCCAAGGAAGATCCTGCCCAGGTAGGCTCCCATAAGGAGGGAAGAGACCCAGCTGCCCAGCACCACAGCTCTAGAGCATGAGAAACATCACTGTGCTCTGTGCAGGCCCCAGAAGTCCAGAGCCAAGGGAAAACCAGGCTCAGGGTGCAGGCCTAGGCAGATGAGGGCTCCTCTTCAGTGCAGCTCTTCCCTTTATCTGACAAATCCTTGCTTGTCTTCTGTAGGTCAAAGCTCTGGAAAGGAACAGGACAAGGAACTGCTGAGAAATGACAGAGACTGCAACAACTGTATCTGCTGTGGCCCTTTTAGACTCCTCCTAGGGCAGTGAGAGCTCTTGTGATGGTTCCCACTTCCCCCCTCCCAGCCCAGACATGAGCAGCACACAAAACCCCCAGGATCACAAGCAGAGGGCAAAGCCTCCCGTGCTGCAGTTTCCCCCCTCTGCCACAGGGGAAAAAGGGCAGAACTGCTCATCTGACAGGACTCAGGACTGAGCAGGGACAGAGCCCTCCCTACCTCCAGCTCCCGCAGGACCTCATCCATGAAGTCTCCCGAGTGCTGTTTGTAAGCCACAGCCAGTCTGATGGCGTCGTTGAAGAGCTGGTAGGAAGGACAAGGCCCGTCACTCACAGGATGGGGCACGTGGGCATTGGGTTTCTGAAGCAGATGGACACTGTTCCACATCCCAAGGGGAAAAAAACCCTCTGCAGCTCTCCACAGCCACCTGGAGCTACAGTGATGGACTGTTTCGTGCTCTCTGGGCCCACAGCAGCCCCCGTGTCCCTGGGCTGCCAAGGGGCCTCATGGACACCAAGTCCAGCAAACGCCCATCTCACCTTCACCACGTTGGTGCCATCGGCAGCAGACACGAAGTAAAAGGGCAAACTGAACTTCCGGGCAAAATTGAAGCTTTTTTGGGTCACCTTCATATCCGCTGAGGCAGACAAAGAAGACATGGTCAGTAAGACACGGCAGGAGGTCCAGAAAGGTGGGTGTCTTCTGTGTGACACGTCAGCCCCTGCTGACCCAGACAAGCCACAGCGCAGTGCCAGCAATCAGGAACTGGCATTCCCGGTGGGAGGGAGCCTCCCAGCCCCCTGCAGAGCCAGGCAAACAGTTTTGTCAGCCGGTACATTGAGACACTGTGCACGCTGAAGGAGCAGCACCAAGGCCATCCCGGACTGATCCAGGGAAGCCACAGAACAGCTTTTGCCTCCTTTTGCTGCCATTTTTGACCAGGTGCTACTCAAATCACTTTTGGGTTCTTGATGAACAGAAGAGGCAGTGTGATAATGGCAGAACTGGAAGAACATTTGAATAAAACTGAAATGGATCAACTTTGCACTTTTAATTGCTGGTGACACAGGACAAGCACCTGTAAGACAGCAGCTGAGGTCAGCACAGGACCCAGCCCTGGGGGAGTGAGGAAATCCAACAGACAGGGGACATTCATTCTCAGTCAAGACAGGACCAAATCCCACCCCGACCCTGGCAGGTTGGGAGGAGAAGGTACACTCACCATCAATCTTGTTGGCCACTACAATGCATGGAATCTCTGGGCGGAATTCCCTCAGCTCCTTGTACCAGCTGTTCAGGTTCTTGTAGGTGACCTTCCGCTGTACATCAAACACCTTCCAAGAGAGAACCACCTATCCTGGCGCCAGCCTAGCACAGCTCTGACTGACCCAGGACAGCTCAGACCAGTCTGTGGGGCCAACCCACGACAGCTCCGACCAATACAAGGACAAAATCCATAATGTTCCCAGGAAGACAAGAGAAAGGGAACTGGGTGTTATTAGAAAGGGTGAAAGGGACACTATCCCCAAGCCCAGCCAGCAGGAAACAGCCCTTTGATGTCTTTTACACTGTCATGGTGTCCTGTGCAAGTCCCTGCCACCCACACAGGGAGCTGGCACTGGGAACAGCTTGTGCCAAGCAGGATCAGATGTGGCCTCTTCTGTTCTGACAACTAAACCACCAGTGAAAATCACTGGTGCTCCCAGGTGATGAGGAACAGTGGAAAATGAGAGTGACAGGACAAACCAGGAGATCTGAGCAGGAGAGGAGCCAATGAAACTGGGAACAGGGGCAAACATGAGGGCATTGAGAAGACAGCAGAGCCAGGGGATAGGGGAAAGTATTACCAGGAGAGACAGACCAGAGCTAACCAGGTCCATCTACAGGGGTTTATCTGGTGAGAGAAGAAAGAACAATCTAGGAAAGTTTTTTAAACCACTGGAAGAGACAAGGAACACATGGCAGTGTAACCATAAAAGTAACACAAAAGCCAAGTGTCACTGAGACCATTCTGAGCCCATATCCCATGGGTTCCAGCTGAGACCCCACCCTCACCATGATGCAGGCATGGGCCTGGTGGTAGTAGGAGGCGTGCATGCTCCGGAACCGTTCCTGGCCCGCCGTGTCCCAGAAGTCTGTAATGCAAAACCAGCTCAGAATGACACATCTCGCTGAGCTCTGTTCTTCTCACAACTTACACCCAGGAGGCAAAGCCCAGCCCACCTGCTCAGGGACACAAACTGAGTTTCACCTCACCAATCTGAAACACTCCAGGGTTAAGAAATTGTGCCAAACTAGGACCTTTCCTTACTGGGCTCAGCTGTGGGCTGTGCTGGCACTAGCCATCAACAAAGGAGAAGCCACCTGTGACATGAGTTGTACAGGACAGCAGGACCAAGACAGGCAGAAATGCAAAGAGCAGTAGCAATGTCTGGCACTCTGTCACTAGGGATGAGAATGGGAAACTACCTAAAACTCCAGGAACTGCTGGGTCCTGCTGATTTCTAACCCAGTGAGGGTCAGCTGGGGCCCTGCCGTGGGAAATGCTCCAGTTTCTGTTGCAGACATCTGACTCTGCTCTCCCAGGGGCAGGAGTCACTTTGAAGTGCTGAAGGTAAATCAGCCAGAGGCAAAGAGGTCCCAGTTCATGGAGTTCTGTGTACATCAGATATCAGGGGGCAAGCCTGGACACCACCATGCTTTTTGCTGTTGGTGCAGCTCAGGTGGAGATTCCCCAACTCTCTGGTTTGCAGGCTCACATCTGAGTCTAGCTTGCTGTATAAACTGGCACAGCTTCAGTTAAGCACCTCAATGAGGTCACACCTTTGTCAGCTGGACCCAAGTGAGGCGCTGTACTCAAAGCCAAATGAGACAGTTTCCCTAGGGATTCCTTTGCACTGATACCGTGTCTGACTGGACTCTGTTTCAGACATGCTGGACAGTGACTTTCTTAAACTTCCCAAACACAGACATGTCCCAACCAGGCCACATTTGCATTCACTGTCCGTGTCACAACAAAGATGTTGAACAGCGTCAACCCCAACGAGCCTTGACCAGTGACTCCATGTGGTCATCCAGACCATTCTTTATCCTCTGACTGTCCACCCATCCATCCAACCCCCGTCTCTCCAGTTCAGAGCCCAGGACGTCGTGGTGACAGTGCCCTACACTTTACCAAGCCCCGGGGGATGACGGCAGTCACTTTGTCCCATCCACCAATGCCGCAGCCCCTTCACAGAAGGGCACCAGATTTGTCACGACGTTGTTGTCTATCAAAACACGTAACCAAGACCCAGACCGAGGGGATCGCCACTTCCCAGCTGTTCCCTCTGTCACGGCACCGTCTGGCGCCGCGAACACCCCAAGCCCCCCGGGCTGGCTCCACTCACCCACGCGGACCTCCTGCCCGCCCACCCGGGCGCGGTGCTGGTACAGCGTCAGGGCGAACGTGGAGACCTGCTGGGGGCGGCTGCGGGCCGTTAAGGAGCCGACGGAGAAGCGCAA